TGGCTCAGATCACTGCTCTAATTGGATCCCTTGCCCAAAACCACGATGTCTCAGGGAGGGTCCCTGCAGAAATCAGAATCCCCCAAATGGTTCAAATGAAGGCACTTTAATGACAGAGTCCTTTAAAAGGCATGGGAAGGGCTAAGAGAATCTGAGGCCCCGGAAGACTGGCAAGAGAGGGGAGCCATTATCTGCCTTAGGAGGGCAGGAGAAAGGGTAAGGACAGTGTAGGAGCTGCAACTGGTTGGCTCCCACAAACCTTGGGAGCTGTGGTCATAGGAAGAGAATGAAGCCTCCACCAGAGAAGGGGCACAAGACAGGGAGCAGGGCAGAGAAACACTGACCTTCCTCTTCCTACCCTCCGATTTCTAGCTGGTGCCCCTCCTTGTGCATCCAGAGGGCCAGGCAGCCTGGGGGTGCAGTCCTAGGAGTCAGGCCTCCGGGGCACAGAGAAGGGCGGAGAGCAGTGACTTGGGGGGAGGATGGGAGAGGATGGGGCTGATGGAGAATCACCGGCCCAGAAGGAAATTACCTAAATGCCTTTCAAGTCTGCCTAGGAACTGCTGTAGATTCTGAGCCCTCTCACGGTTTTAAACAATTAACAAGTGGTAGAAAGGTGTTGAGGACACATTAGCACCGGAGAGAGACTCTTTTGATTGAGGTGGTAAGAATTTTAGAAATAACAGAGAACTGAGTAGCTTTTTCACTTTTTGATTCAGACGATTTAGTGTTGTGGTGAGACACGTGTAATACCACCTCTCCCCTGGTGTGAAACACAGATGTGTGGGTGGCACCCCCCAGTGTTACCCACTTGGGGTACTTTAGTGGCTCGCATCAGGCATTGGCTGAGGACTGCAGCTGGGGGTGGAGGGTGCTGTCACCCCCCCCAAGTCCAGCCTACTGTGAAGGTGCGGGAAGGTAGGGAGGGGGCTCTGGGGACCAGGGCCAAGCACTGGGGGGGAGAGGTCCGTGTGCCGGCGGGGGGCAGTGTGCGCGGAAGCGCTGTGGGAGGGGCGGGTGGGGCACCCATGGAGTCGCCTCCACAGCCCTCTCCCCACCACCCCCCCTCCTGAGTACTGATGTTCCCGTGGATCCATCTCCCACCCTTCGCTCTCTTGCTCCACATACTCTTCATGGGCCTGTCGACCAGCCTTGTGCCTCCAGCTACCATCTCTTTGACAATCAGAGTAGATGTTTAGTGAGTGCCCACGTCTCGCCGATGTCTGCAGCTCTCTGCCTGGGCTCCAGCTACATCCTGGGCAGCCCGTTGGAGGTCCTACAACTGATGTGGGACCTCGTTGTCTTCCTGCCTTAGCATCACCTCTTTCTCAGTGAAGAACACTCACCATCTGCTCAGTTGCCCAAGCTGGACACGTGGCCTCACTCTGGACTCCTCCCTGTTCCTTTGCCACCACATTCGTGGTCAGAGTCCACTGAGCCCACGCCTCAGGAGTTACCAGGTTCCACGCTGGTCCTCACCCCACCGTTACCATGGCAGGCCACCACCATCTCTCGCCCGGAGCGCAGCAGAGACCTCCAGCAGGCCACCCGGGTGTCCTTCCAGAGCAGGCCTCCTGACTTGGGTCCTTCCCCTGCTAAGACCCTGAGGACCCCACTGGCCTTGGCCTCATGGGCCAAGTGCAGCTTCCACAGCCTGGCTTCTGGCATCCCCGGGACCTGTCTGCTCTTCCTTGTGACCTCCTTCCCCCCGACACCTGGTGGCCAGCTGGCCTCGGGATTGCGGAGGCCTGAGGTCCACCCCTCTCCCATCCCACTCGGTGGCCACCCTCTTGCAGGAATCCAGGCATTGTTTGGAATGCCGGAGAGCATGGAGATGAGAGCCATGGCCAGGGAACCCTGTGCCCTCCGACCCAGACAGGCCCCTCAGACTAGCCCAAGGGTGGAGAATGGTATGATTTCAAAGTGGCTCTTCCATCTTGCCAACTTAGAGCTGTGACGGGTCCTGGAGTCAGAGAGGCCTGGGTTTGAACCCAGGCTGTACCACGATGTAGCTGTGCAGACTAGTTGCTTAGTCCCTCTGAACCTAAGTTTGCTCATCTGTAAAGTGGATGCTGCCTCACTACTTCGTACGGGTGTGAGGAGGTTAACAGGTGAATGCTAGAGTCTGAGGTCAGATTCTCTAGAAGTAGATGCTGAGATGAGAACTCACGTGTAAGTCAGGTACAGAGGAACTGCCCAGGGGAGAGTGGTAAGGGAATTGGGGGAGGCAGGACAGGGAAATAAATCTGGAGAGAATAAGAAGCCCAAGTGACCCTAACCAGGCATCGGAGATACTGGTGTCTGTTTCCCCACAGTTAACTTACTTCTTTTCTGAGCATCTCGGCCCCTGATGCCCCATCCCACCTCTCAGTCCATCTGAAAGAGCAGAGCCAGATGCTGCTGTGAGGGGAGAGGGGAAGCGGGAGGGGTGGAGGCCTGGCCTGGGGCCCATGTGGGCAGGGATAAGAGCACCCCTCCTGGGGGAGTAGGGGTTCTCTGGGGGAGGCACTGAGTCAGTAAGCAGCACAGTGGTGAGGAGCGGTCTCCACATGCCACCAGGTCAAGAGCAGCAAGAGGTGAAGGCTGCTGGGAGGGAGGCCAGGCCTCCGTGGGAGCTGCCGCCCTCCTGGTGTGGCTCAGCTCACCCCGCATCTCCTGCCTTCCTCCCTGCTGCCTTGGTGGGCCTTGGGCCAGAGAAGGACCTCAGAGGCTATGAGTGTGCCGTGCCAGGGGGTGTTTTAACAACATCCAGGCTGCCAAGAGCACATTATTCTCTTACAGAAATCCAAGGGATTGCCCAGGAGATGTGATATTTTTGTAGCCAAAAAAAAAAAAAAAAAAAAAAAAAAGAAAAAGGAAAAAGAAAAAAAAAATTTCTCCACAGCTCTAAAAGCCCGTTGTGCTAGGAATGATAGTGGGTGTTTCAGAATCTGGATTCTTTGTCAGGGAGCAGATAAGGACTGAGAATTTTCTGTTTGTTTGCTTCATTCACTATATAGTACATATTGGATGTCCCCAGGATGGTCCCGGTGGAAGGAACAATCTTATAAAGGCAAAGAGGTAGGAAGGACATGTTTGACAGGTTTGGAGAACAGAAAAGCTAAAGATCAGGACTCTTTGTTGTAAGGGATAGAAATTCCACCTCAAACTGGCTTAGGCAAAGACAAGGACTTAACTGGTTCATGTGATTGAAAGAACAAATGACTGGGAGCTTCAGGCATGGCTGGATCCAGGTGCTCAAACAATGTCCTAGGACACAATCCTCCTCCATCTCAGCTCTGCCTTCCTTGGCACTGGCTCTGCTTTTAGGAAGGCCCTTGCCCCTGGGTGGCTCAGTCAGTTCCATCTTTCCACCCTCCTAGGCTGAAACCTGGTAAAAAGAAAGGAATTTTCTTCGCCAATAGTTCCAGTGAAAGTCCTGACTCTCATTGAACTGACGTGGGTCACATGTCCATCTCTGGCTGACCCTTTAGAGAAGGGTCCATAGTCCCTTCTCTAAAGTGTGGGCCTTCCTCTAACACTGGTTAGTGTGTCTTGGAAGGTAAGTCATGTGATGTGTTGCATTTTCTCCTGCCCATCCTTTTTCTCAGAAATATTATCTCCTCCCACATTGCATTTCTCTTTCTTGACTCTGTCTCTAGCCTTGACCTCACTCAAGCGCCCCTGGGCTCCATTTCCTGAGACACGGTAGGGACATGTTCCTCCCATACAACAACAGTAATATGGCACAAATTGAGCCGTCACTACACGCTAAGCACAAGCTCTTCACATTGCTGTCTAATGGAATCCTCACAGCAGGACAACACTATGAAATAGGTGTTATTATTATCCTTGTTTTATAGGTGAAGAAACGCAGGCATAGAGAGGTTCATTCCTGAAGCAATGACTAGAGTCAGGGGGCTCCTGAAGCTCTCATTGACTAGATAGGAGTCATGTGCCTGAACATGGAGCCAGGATGTGTCAGCTGCAACTGACCTACACAGACCGAGAGAAGGGAAGGGACTCTCCAAATGAGAGACATGTAAGAAGAAGGGGGGGGGGAATGTGGGGTGGGAGAAAGAGAAGATGCCCCCTAAACTAGGTGGCAAATGATGGCAACCCAAATTGGAAAAATTGGGGAGAAAAGGGAGCTGTGCTAGCACAAGGAAAACAAAGATTTGGAGGAGCCAAACCACTGGAAGGACAGCGGTGCAGTGCCCCTTCAGGAACAGCTGGAACCGGGCGCTCACACTGTCAGAAAGCTCACGCTCTCATCGGTCCTGGTCTTCCGGTTCACATCTGTGCTTCCAAGTGCAGACTGCCAGGGAAGGGCTCTGATTGGCCGATCCTAGGTCACGTGACCACACCCGACCCATCAACCATGTCCAGGAAGGGAGACCCTCTTTAGAACACGGCTGCTCCCAGGACGGCCACGTGGTTGAAGCTGTGGCAGGAGCTGTAGTAGTTTCTAGAAAAAAGTGGAGTCGGGTACAGGGCGGATGAAAATGTAGGTGTGTGCTCGTAGCTGCAGGTGACAGAGAACACCGCCCTGACCACTTTAACCTCAGGGAAGCCCTCGGGGCTGGTGATTGGCCGGGTGATGTCACCCTCCCGTCCCTCTCTGCTCAGAAACAACAGTGTCCGCTTCATCCTAAGGCGGGTGCCCTCCGGGCCATCAGATGGCTCCCGGGAGCAGTCATCTACCAGATGAAAAGAGAAAGAGAGACTCCGTCCAGCTGCAGGACGGAGGTTCCTCCCTCCGGTCAGAAGGGGCCCCCTGCACTAGTAAGCATCACCCCGAGAGCGCCGGGCTCCCCCTGACTTGGGCTTGGGCTCCTGAGCCAGTTCTGGTGCAGAGGACGTGGTCGTGATCAGCTGTGTCATCAGGACGCACCCTACAACTGCGGTCCTCACTAGGAGGACTAGGTCCGCCAACCGATGGGCGTGGGGTGGAAGGTACACGGGGCGGGGCCACCCTGCTGCGTCCCTCACCTCACGGCCGCTCTGCCCCTGTCGTGCAGGGGTCCTGTGGCTGTCGGTGGTCTCCGAGGTGCTCTATATCCTCCTGCTGGTGGTTGGCTTCAGCCTCATGTGTCTCGAGCTTTTCCACTCCAGCAATGTCATCGACGGGCTCAAGCTCAATGCCTTCGCAGCTGTCTTCACGGTGCTGTCAGGTAAGGCGGAGGGCGTCGGGCAGTGGAGCCTAACCCTGGGCTTCCGGAGGAGCGGACTGTGGGGGCGGGAGCCGCCCTGGGGCTGAGGCCTGTCTGTCCCCCCCCCCCCCCCGCTCCCCACCCCCCCGCCGCCCGTGACCTTGCACCAGTCACTTCCCTTCTCTCAGCCTCCGTGGTACGGTTCGGAAAATGGGATTTGCTAGCTTATTCACTCGCTCGGTGGTTATTGACTATCTATTGACTATCTATCACGTGCCAGGTGCTGTGCTAGTAATAAGTACTGGGGTTTTGGTGATGAGCAGAAAGGGACAGTTGCAGCCTCCGGTGAAGTTTCACGTGCAGGAGAGAGAGGTGAGTTAGCTTGAGATGTAGTCAGGAGCTGAACACCATATGGCCCAGTGATGGACGGCATCTGTGGGACAAGGCAGAGAGGTGCTTTACTGGAATGAGTGGATGATGGTGTCTTCCATAGGGATATAAAAGGGGGGCCCGTTTGGGGTGGCAGGCACATCACTCATCTGCTTTAGCTTTTTTGCCTTTGAGACATTCATGTGGAAGCCGAGGGAGCAAACACCTCTGGAAGCTCAGGGACTATGTGGGGTGGGCAGAGCCAGGGATTTTGAGGGCTTTGGGGAGAATGGGATGGTCAGCCTCATGATAGGACTCAGGGAGGTGGAGACAGACGACTCCCAAAAAAAGGCTACTGGATTAGGTGGCCAGCTGCCCAGAGCTGTTTCAACAGATCCAGGTCATGAGGGGTTAAGCAGGGAGTGTGCCAGAGGGAGTAAAAGGAGCCTACAAACCATAACTTCAGGCGGCCTGACAGATAGAGTGGTGGCTTGGCTGTGTAAGACATCTGTTCCTAAAAAGCCAAACGTAAATTGAATTTCTGTAAATCTAATCCAATTCTTCATGCATTGGAAGAACCCTCTATTTAATGAAACTGAAACGATGAGCCTTTTGGTAAGGGAAATAATCTCCCCCTAACTGAAGTGTGTGTGTATAACAGAGGGATCCCTCAAAGATTGAGAGCTGAATTCAAGAGATTACAGCACGCTCCACAGATCAAAACACGCATGACTTGGCATTCTCAGGATGTGGAAATCTAACCATCATAGTAAAGGAAAGCAAAGAAAAAGAGAGCGAGCCTCATAGCGTAGTGTCCGTTTTGCATCCTGCTCACCCCATTCCTACATCTTGTGTGCATTTACTCAACCAATATTCAAAGAAGGCCTAAAGGACCAGGCATTGTAGGTTTGGGCAAGTCAAAGGAAAAACGGCTGTGTCTTCCCCCTCCTGAAGTTTGCAGTCTTGTGAGAGATAGACTCATCAAACAATTAGAAAATGGTGGGTTGACCTCTAGTAGTGAGAGGCCTGCCCGAGGGGCACCCACGTTGGCCCCGGGGAGTGGGTGGGGATGGGTGGGCTGGGGTATGGGTATGGGGAAGACATCCTTTGAGCTGAGGCTTGGAAAAAAGTAGGAGTTTCCCTGATGGACAGCTTGGGGAAGGCATTCCACATAGAGGGAGCAGCATGGGTAAAGGCCTAGTGGGGTGGCATATTCTGGAAATTCCGAGTTGTTCAGAATGATGGGGAGGCAGAGTAGAGAGAGCAGGAGAATTGAGAGATGAGGCCGGAGACCTGGCCGAGGGTCTTGGTGCTTTTCAGTGATCTTTAGCTTTTACCTTGGAGCCATTAAGAATCCAGAGCAGAGGGGGATATGGTCAGGTGTGCATTTGGGGATGAGGGCTCCGGCTGTGGCATGGACGGAGTGGAGCAAGAGTGGAAGTAGGGAGACTGGCCAGGAGGTGAGAAAGGACGCGGCCCCACCCTGCCCCAGCGCAGGGGCAGTGGGAATGGGATGCAGGCGCACACGCCCTCTGTTCGGCTAGGCGGTGAAGTGAGCAGGGTTGCAGACTGCTCAGGAGAGCTGAGTGGGCCTGGAAAAGAGAGAACCCCGGGCAGCTTCCTAGTGTGGAGTCCACAGAATTCAGGGGGTCCACGAGCCGGGTGGGGGGAAAATTCCAGCCTTATTCCTCTAACTTGTAACTGACATGCAGTATGTCCTTCAGCTATGAATGGAGGCAACAAAACGCAGTAGTGAGGAGCACCTGTCCGGTAGTCGCCAATAATAATCTCTATTTGTGCTCTCACACTACGGTTGTGGTAGATATCTTGAGATGTGTTCATTCAAAAGTGTAACGTGTACTAGAGCTTCTGCGGAATCTTGTTATCTAGTGTGTTAATGAAGAAGCGCATATATTCCTGTACCGCACGCTTGTTTGAGTATTTCGCTAACTACACTTCCATGTAACTGGTGTGCTCTGTCATCCTACGTATTTTATTTTATGCAGCCAGAAATGTGATTCTGAGGAGGGGCCTCTAAGTCCAGATGGCCAGAGCCTCTGACCTGATGTCCCTTGGCTGGCCGGGGACGGTGGGTCACCAAGGTGGCAAATGTGGGAGAAGAGCAGGGAGTGGGAGGGGATGGGTCTGGTTTGAGCAGGTGGGCTGTGCCATGCTGGCCCCCTTCCCTTCTTAGTGGTTTCACCTTTTCCTTCCCCCCTGCAAGCTGGAAGAATCCCTTCCATTATCCCAAGCACCCAGCCCTCCCCCTCAACCTGCTCGCTCCAGTCACCCAATGAAAGCTGGTGGGCAGCCCAAGACAGCCATCTCCAGGTCTTCAAGCAGACCTCTTGTCGGGTAGGAGGTGGGGGCTCTTCCCCCAACCTCAAAGGGCTTATCACAGTTTTCACCTCCCACAACAAAAAAGCCCCAGAGCCCCACTGCTAAAGAAAATAAGATTGTCTCCAGTTAATTTCAGACAGATAAACAATGCAGGGCTCAGGGAGGTTAATTGACTTGCCTGGGGTCACACAGCTGGTCAATTGTGGAGCCAGGATTAAACCCAGCTCCTGCTGGCTTCAAAGCCCTGTGCTCTTTTCATAGGATGGAGCTGCAGGGGTGACCTGGCCTGGAGGGAGTAGACTTTTAAGTCTTCAGGAAACAGTAACCAAGAAGCGTGTGTGAGCCAGATGATGTCATAAGAGTGAAGTAGCAAGTGGTGGAGAGAAAGCATTTTGTATTCATGCCCGAGAGAAGACAGATGGGGGTAACAGGACCCCAGGAGAGAGGCTGCCTGGCCCGGGAGCCCCGGGCCTTTCCAGAGCCGCTTGAGAACAGGCCAAGGGGCGAGGAGGGGCCTGGAGGAGGCGGGTGGACTTCGGGCCTGCTCTGATGGGAGGGGAAGGAGTGGGCAAGCCCACTGAGTGAGTCCATGGGCAGGGGGCAAAGGGCTGGGTCTGACGTTGCCAGAGCAGCTCACAAAGAAGGGTCCTCAGCCCAAGGTCAATACCTTCTAGGATAGAGGGGAAAGCAGAGATGGGGCAGCCCCTACTTGACCCAATTATTATAATCAATTATTATAATGAATCAAGTGATTCTGATGAATCATAAGAGCCAGTGCTGGCTGAGATGCCAGGGCACCGGCACTGGGCTCAGCCTGCCACGTGGTGTCCTTAGGAGGAGGGGTCTAACACTGCACGCGTCCCTACTTGCCCGTAGTCACGTCACTGGTGAGTTGTTAAACCCCCGACTGAGCCTGCCACATAAAGCGCTTTGAGCAGGGCTTAGCACCTGGGACTTCAGCTTGCCATGTTATTATTATTCCCGGCTGTCTTCCAATATATTGAGAGGCAGATCGTGGCCCCGGGGACCAGCCCTGTTGTCCCAGTGAGGTGGGGGGCCGAGGGGCTCACGCTCTTCAGTGAAGGGAGACGGGGTAGCAGGCCCCGACCAGCAGGGCTGCGTTCCTGGCAGAAGGTGGTCATACAGATGGGGTTCGGCCCCCGAGGACTGGGGGCAGGGGCTGTGGTTGCTGGCTCACTGGCCCAGTGCCTAGAGCTCATAGTATTTCTAGGGACCCATGAAATGTTTTCATTTTGACTGCTTTTCAAAGCAGCAGGAAAAAAATTAATAATAACGAAGACCTAAGAGTGAATCTAGGCTGGATCATAATTGCCTTTCTACCATTGCAGTCATAAAATGTGATTTTTTAATATTTCTTTTATGGAGCAACAGGCCCGTGGAGGCCCGTGGAGGCAAAAGTGCGTGGGGCCCATGAAAGTCATGACATGGCCCTGCAGCGGGCCACAGCTTTTCTCGGGCTCTCAGGACCGGGCAAGACCCAATTCCAGACCAGGGGTGGCCCCAGCCGCCTGTGGCCCCTTGCCAGGTCCTGTGATTTTAGCCAAGAGGTGCTAGAGAAGATGAACTCCCTGAGTTTCTTCCCCCAGCGACCAGAGTCTTACAGCCCAGAAGGGATGTGAGTGCAGGCTGGAACATGTCTGTTCTTCCTCAATTCCTCTGAAAAATGAGACTGATCTACTTAGGAAAAACACAAAGTCATTTGGAGAATCCCTGCACAATCCAGCCAACTGTGGGCTTTTAGTAAAAGCTGCCGTAGCATGAAGAGAAACGTGACCGTTTCTGGAAAATAAAGCAGACCTCATGGAGAAGTCAGTAAGAGTATTTTGTTAAGCAACAAGAAAAGGAAATCTTGCAGTAAAACAAAAAATGACCAAGGCGAGGTTGCTGTTTGGAATCGGTTTCAGGAGCCATTTTCAGAGCGAGGTATGAATTAAGGAGCAAGCAACTCCACGGTCCGCGAGGTGGACACCACAATGTGCTTTGGACAGAGGTTGGGGGCCTGGGGGACCTTGGAGTTTCTCTTAGCATGGTGATTATAGCTTTTTGCCGAAAACCATCACATATTATTTTAGGATGAGTTTCTTGATACCCTAATTCTTGGGGTCTGTGCTGAAAGAATCCCACATTGATAACCCCCTCTGTTCAGTCTCCCCGCCCTGGTCAGACTGGCTCTCTTGCCCGTAACTTAGCAAGTACTTTGGTGTATTTTTGTGCCTAAAAACGCAGAGGGTCTAAGTCAGAGAAATAAGTATTTCCATATTATTAAAGATTCTTTTTTTAAAAAAAGATTT